TCCTCGTGTAAGCTTTTCTACGAAGGACATTGTGCCTCCGTCTTCTGTGAGGCCTCGAGCTCAAAGCCGAGTGCGACTTTTTCCATATATAGTAATATTCTACCAGTTCATTCTAGAGAAAACACGTCAACATGAAATTCGGAAAAATTCATCGCAAAAGTAGCTTGGAGGATAGGAAGAAAGGGATAAAGGAAGGGAGGATGGAAGGGAAAAAAGGAAAAGAAAAGGAATTATAGATGGAAGGGAAGGAGGGAGGAAGGAATTGGGTGAAGGAGGAGGGGAGGATTCGAGAGGGAGAGCAGAGGAAATAAAAACTGAACTAACCGTCTTCTTGTGCCCCAACAGTTCTTTATGTATCTTGTAGAAGTTCTTTCCAAATTGCCTCAACCCTTTTACAAACTTTTTCTGCGATACAAAAATTAAACAACACTTTTTTAAAGGCCTTGGTTCACTATGCGACGAATCTCGAGCTTGATAAACTTACGATATCATCCTCTGTCCATTTCTTTCGAAGTTCCTTCGGGTATGGTTTCCTAACTAACGCTTGTAGTGCCTTAGCACAGTCATAACTACTCTCATGTAACTAGAGAAATAAAAAACAATAGATTTAATTACAGCTCAGAGTTCACTCCTTGTTGGGCTCTCTGTGGTTGTGTAAGTATATTTAATTCACTGTTTAATTAGAGTTCGGCAATCTTATGGCATTATACCAAGGCATTGCATCGTACCAGATTTAGTGCATTGCTTGTTGTAGCGTCCTGCGACATTGCTCTGAATCCATCCTCGGGCGACCCGCCATTACACATGCCTGCATACTGTGCCATACTCCTTGACGCTCGCAAATACATCATAAGATCATAATCATCTAGTATGGGACTCCAAACCTATGAAAAAAAAATAAACAAACATTGGGTTGTTGTGGGATTAGAACAGACTCGTACCCAGTCGCTTCTCTCAAGCGGCGCGCAATGCATGAAGGGAAGTGCGAAGGTCTTCCGACTTCTCTTGGTCCTTTGCGCGCTACGGGGGTAACTACTGGGTACGAGTCTGGGATTTGAAGGAGTGGTTATCCTTTGAGTGTGAGAAACCAATAAAATGGAACTTCGATTGAAGGCCACCCGCTTAATACGGCCAACCAGCTATAACGACCAGGCTTTTATGCTCCGGCAGTTGAACTCGCATACTTTCCCACCCAATTAATACGCTTAGTCTGTTAATACGGTCACTTTTCGGTGTCCGGATTAAACAGGTTTCACTGCAGTTAACTATAAACATTCAACTCGTTCACTGATTGAATGGCAAAAAAGTCACTCTGTTTTTTCCCATTCACGCATTCTTTATCAATTCTTTTAGTCATCTCTTTTTTTTTCTTTTATTTAAAACTTACCAATTTTTCTCGTGAAGTTTCAAATGAAGAATCATTTTCGTCAGGGACATATGGTTTACACTCTGGAAGTATTGCCTAAAAAAAAACATTCTTCAGTTCTATAGTTTTGATAAAATAGAAGTTTGTACGAAATGGGTAATACAGTAATGACAGCTTGGATCAAAAATGTATTTATCTCTACCCCTCCAAAGAAGGGAATTGACCTAGAGATTGAAAAGGAGGGGGAATGGTTGCGGTTCAATACCTGATGACTGGGTCCAACACGAATTTCCCCTTTAGTATTTGCCAGTCTCCTGTTGGCAAAAAGTTCAATAAAATTCAATAAAACGGTTATCTAAAGTGGGTACCAAACTTGATTTTAAAACCAGATTTAATCCAGTTTGTACAACTATTAGATAAAGTTTAGGGCCTCAATAAACAGGTTGAACAAGTTTACACAAAACAATGAAAAACTGGTTTGACCAGTTTAATAAACACGTTTAACAGTAGTGTTCCATGCCACTACATGTACATTTAACAAGAGAAAATATATCTTATTCTTTAATCAAGGTTTAATTGTCTTTTTTTCTCATTATCCTTATAATAATAATTATTATTACAGTGATTCTAGCAATTAATTCCTAAAATAACAAATAACCATGTTTATTTAACAAACAATTCAACATTTGCTAAGGGATTCACACAAGGAACTCAAGCAAATGAAACCTTGTTTGAAAACAARTCAAGCATGTGCACAGAGAAGAATCCATTCAAAGTGTCTTGTGGTCAGCTCAAGGRCTGACAGTTAGCTTTTCAGRTTCAAATATAACACCAGTTCACAGGCTAAATAGTGACAGGTTGTGAATTTACWRCCCTTTTGTGTCCAAGCATTGAACCGGTTATGAATTCACATGTATCTAACTTGATTTTAACATGGTTTGCGCACCCAATTGGAACTTTAAGTGTTATAAACTATTTCACATTCTGTTTTAAGGAGTTTGAAGTTTCTTTTTGAAATATCTTTTAAAGAATGAAACGTTTTTTTTTTTCCAAAAAAATGCTACCAGACAGTGAATTATTCCTTGTGGCATGTTTACAATTTTGTAGGAAAAAAAAGGCACAAAAGAGAACTAGCTATTGCTTTCTCATTACACATGACTCGAAAAGCATTTCCCTTATAACTTTATATTTTATTCCATAACTAGTCATCACAAACAAAACAATTTAAAAAAATTTGATAACTTTGAATAAAGTCAAGTCGTTGCTTTCTTTCTAGAGCATAAAGAAAAAAAAATTCTTTAAGAAGGTACTTCATGATTCATACAATAATTGTCGCTTCATAAAGTTTTGAATGGAAAAGAAGATTTTGAAAGATATCATTGAAGATGGTTTTCTTTTAGTATTGAAAAGTTAAAAAATGACTCAAAGCACATGGTTTAATTCAAAGGTGTCAGAGGTATTGAATACAATTGTCTTAATTCTTTGTTTTAATCAAGCTAACAGGTAATTTAGTTACCATGACTTGTCATGTCTTGAACACCAAATAAAATAAGTTTTTATATAAAAAATTATATGTAAAAATAACATTTCTTCTCAGCTATAAGAAGTAAATTTACCTTGGAATTAAAAGTCAATGTTTTGAACACCAAACAAAGTAGTTCTTTTGCATGAAAACTTGTAAAGTTTACGTTTAAAMTTTATAACATTTCCACTCAGAATGAAGAAGTAAATTTTCCAAAGACTTCAAAAATCAATTTCTTTAGCATTTGAATCATAAGAAGTTAAAAWTACAAGAAAGATTAACTTACAAAGACAAACTTTATTTCAGTAAGAAAACCTATTTTACTTAAGAAATGAGCTTTATAGAAAATACCTATAAATCTCACTAATAATTCCTCTGTTAAACCCATCATTTCTTTCCAATAAGAAACAATTTCTCTCCTTACATACATGTATGTCTTTAGCAATRAGTAGAAGCAGGTGAAATTTGTACAGTCATAACTATTTAACCTGCAAAAGCCAGGTATCATGATAAGACTTGTTAAGAAAACCAAGATTTTGCTAGGTGAAGGTGAAAACTCTAGCTTATATAAGTCTTTGAATGATTGAATATTTTCAAGGTTTAGTCAAAGATAACAGAAACAGACTCAGATAATACCTTGACACAACTTATAACAAAAGACAAAGCAAAACTAARAACACACAAAGAAAACCAAAACAAAACAAGAAAAAACAAACAAACAAATATAAATAGAAAATCAACTTCACACTACCTTGTTTCMGGGTTGTAGCCCAGCAAGTAAAAGAAGCAATCTTCTTTTGAGATGTACTCCTTGAGGTTTTCAGACAGCTCAACAAAAGGACGGACTTTACATTTTCCTCTGTTGGACACAAGAACATTTGTATTGTCAATTAAAATTTATCTTTGAGTGTTGAAAAGAGTGTTGATTTAAGTGACCATGCTATATTCTGTTTATCATAAAATTATATAAAAGCATATTATGTTGTAAAATACTTTTTTCTTACTTCCACTATATAGAGAAACCCCGAATGTGTTATATGCACTAGTTAAAATAACAACTTAATGAAAGAGAGAAATATAGGTATTTCTTAGATAATTATATTGTCATGTATGTGAAAATATCCCTTCTTTGTGCACGAACTTATCATCAGTAGATGTTTCATTAAAGTTTATATAAAAAGCTATGTATTTACCTTAAGCTTAAGCTTAAGCTCGCAGTCTACCATGACTCTGTCATTGTAATTGTTTGTAATTTGAAAGCGCTTAGAGCAGATTTGTATAAGCGCTGTATAAAATAAAATTATTATTATTAATTATTATTAATYACCTAAGGGCYGATGCAGGATACACATCAGTTGCATCAGAAATGAACAGTTCTCTTTCTTTTACAAGTTCATCTTCTAGAATATGATCGCTTGATCCTGGAATTTCACAAAGAAACAACTCCATTTATTTTCAATGGTATAATTGATAATTATTAGTAATTTCATGAAATTATTAATATCAATTTAATCGTATGAGGAAGTGGCTGATCCCATTAAAGAGTGCTCAATACACATAAAGTGTAGAGCTAGGATTAAATACTGTCTGATGAGTGTGTAGCACGAAACTCGGAGTTACAGCAAAATCTTGCCTCTTTGATATCATATATATTTAATATCAATTTAAAAAGTTTTAAAACCATTGGTCCATTTATGTTTTCTAGGTGGGACAAATGTTATAAGTCGTGAGAGTATCGTACCATTCTCAGTGTTTCTGTCCTGGACAAGTAGTTGGTAGACTGATTCTGGGACTTCTGAGGGTCTGTAGTACCATCTGACCGTCACTGCCAGGCTATCACGTTTAGACTGTTGGAAAAGAAAAAAGAAAAAAAAAATCAAATTTGATCATAAGTTTCAAAAGATGAATAATTACATGAAGGGATAGATGAATATACAGCAATATGCAGAAACTATGWTCTTTTTGAATCATATTTTAAGTACATATATAGAGAATATTACATGGGCGCGAGGAGATACGGATTTTATCTTCGAGTGTTGAAAAGATCTCTCATGAGTGAGCGTAGCGAGAAGATAAAATTTGTATCTCCAAGCGACCATGTAATATTCTGTTTATCATATAATTACATATGGAAGCAAATTATGTCGTAAAATGCCTTTTTTTCTTACTTCCAATATAGGGAGAAACCTTGAATGTGTTATTTTCACTAGTGAAAATAGCATGTTATTTTCACTAATGAAAATATCAATTTTACGAAATGGAGAAATATAGGTATTTCATCGATAATTATGTGATAAAATAAAATATATCAGAGATTATGGTATGTCATCTTTTCAGAAAGTACTAGTGCTAGGGAACTTTAAAAGAATGTTGGTGATGATATCCCATGATTTCTGATATATTTTATATATGCTTGGAATATGAGTCAAAATGATCATAATTTATGTATATTGCTGTATAAAAACATAATTTGATAAACAGATAGATGAAAATATAAATGGATGGATGAAAAATAAATGCTTAAATGAATGGATAAGCAAATAGTAGGATGTGTTAATAAATGAATAAGTAAATGAAAATATGGATGATAAATTAATGCAATTTTGGATGAACAAATGAATGGATCCATAAATAAAGCGATGGAAACAAGGCAAGTCATTGGTATGTCAAGTTGAGTATTTCAATTTATCTTTAACACCTTGTACAAATATTGCATGCTATTTTTGTAAGTATTACTGACAAATTACATGTCAAATAGTAAGATACAGGAAGAAGATACTCTAAATCTAGTTTTGTCACTCTGGAAACCAACTCAAAGATAAAATATATGACGTTTTTATTAATCAGTTCTATTTTGTAAGTATTACTGACAAATTACATGTCAAATAGTAAGATACAGGAAGAAGATACTCTAAATCTAGTTTTGTCACTCTGGAAACCAACTCAAAGATAAAATATATGACGTTAATGTGAATTTATTTTATTAAGATTAATTGTTTCTTTTGAAAGAAAATTGGAACAGATTTCTACTCCACGTAATAACAAATAGAAAAAAGTTTCAATTYAACTGTATGGAAATAACACAATATTTTGCCTTTGAAATAAGGATTTTTTAATGTGTCAAATAATATAATATTCAGAACTCAGTATTCAGCTCTTAAAATATTCAAAATTCACAATGAAAATAAAATCCAAAAGATGTCAATGCAAATATAAAAATGACGCTAAATCTGCACAATTATTTTTCAAGCTTGATCAATTGATTGGCTAAAGATAARCCCAGTAATCTCTTCATTATTTAAAGTAATTCTTTTGAAAATGTGAGGTTTACTTTGYGCTTTCTACAAAAAGCCYCAAAACAGATCTTATCAAGTCCATTTTTATTAAACCTATATTATTATYAATTGAAAACCCCGAAAAATCATGACTATAACTGAAAAGAACRGCATTAATACATCTTTCAAGTTTGAATGAAAAATCTGTTGAAAATTTGAGAAGATACTAACAGCTAGTGAAATGTGGTTATCTATTAATTTACACGAAGATGACAATCTGTCAACCTTACATAGCATCTTAATGTATATTTATTTGTARTATTTTATAACTTCTAAACACTGCATCATTGCCGATTTTCAACATATTCTTAAACTTGTCAAATTTACTGTTTTCAGTCTGTTCTTTAACAGAGTTGAGTTTTTTTTTTTTAAACTAAAAGCTTGAATTTCACAGATATAACTGTCATGTTGATTATCCCAYATTTGATAATACAACAGTATCAAGTTATTTTTAAGTGTTTCAAGAATATAACTGACACCCTGTCAGACTCCGTGGTTTCCTAATACAAGGCCTGCTAYAAGCCATGCACAAAAACATGTGTCTACCTTTTAAGTTTGTGGTTGACAGTTGTCCATGGGGTGAATTCAATTCATCACCCACAATAATCTCATAGAGTTTCAAAATGAAATGTTATTCATAAAAAAATTGTTCTTCCTTCAGGCCTTGTTGTCTACACTCAATTGTATCTCTGATTTTCACACTCTTGAGGATAGGAAACAAAACAGAACCACGTTTGTCTTATATAATAAAATTGTTAATAAACCTTTATTCAAGGTTTTTTGTCCACACTGATACATATCTGTAATGGTTTTTTGCCTGTTATGTTTTTTGTATTTTACACTTTTTTTCCCTCAAGTGCAGACAAAAAATAAAAGCGAGGAGCAGGTCTTTATGAATTCAAATAACATTGATTAAAAGTGGTTTTCAAAAACCTGTGAAACAAACTGTCAGAATGAAATAAAGTGTAAACATCGAAAAGACAGAGAAAAGCCTGMAAAATAAAGGGCAATAAAGTGTAGCACGCTAAAGTGTATCACAATACACAAGTTTATGAAAGACCAATGTACTTATTTACATTTTAATTCCTTTTTCTTAGTATAATTGAATGATAATCATTGTTATGAATATCTGTGGTTGATAAACAATTCTTTGGTAAATAAAATTTCATAGTATAGCTCATGCAATCTTGGAAACAATAACACTATCTCCCTCTAATAGAAAATCTGAAAACCTACATAATTTACTCTTAATAAAAACTATTTTGTAACTTTAGCCTCTTAGTAAATCGAGTAGGTATTACAGTTGGAAATATGTTTTGTGAACTTGTGGTCAGTAATAAAAAGAAAAACAATAAAAAATAAGACTAAAAAAATTATCTTTTTATGAGAGAAAAACCCTTAAAATAATATAATTTTCTTTTTATTTTCATATTATTTTAACTTTTCTGGTTAAAGTTTTAATATACAGTGCTGTAGTAGTTTCTTTTATTTGTTTTTCAAATCTCTGGTTAGTATCACACCTCTCTTAGCCAAAGAGGTCTACAAATCCTGGCTCACAACAATCTTAGAAACACTATTATCGGAGAATCAAAGCATGTGTTACACCAGATTTAAAAAAAAAACAACTCAAAAACAAGACAAAAACTAAAAAAAAATATTTTTCATTCTTTTATGAATAACATTATAGTTGTTATCAGTTTTGTTATAAAACTAATGGTGGTTAAGATATAATTTGTTTGCTTTTAACATGTTTTTTTACACATTCATGTTGATTGTTATCTTTGGTTAGAACTGTTTAATTCTAGACCCAGACTGTTTGAACAATAGGTTTTATCATTATTTCCTGATTTTCTCTTTTTCTACATGCTTTATTGATATTTTCAGCACAAATATTGCCTAATAGATGTCTCAGGTCATAAATCTCAGRATGTTAATCTTAATAACTTGTACAAAATCTAGACAACAAATAATATAATATGATAAAAATTGATAACAAATTCTCAAAAATAAAGTTTTTTTTCATACCAACTTAAATTGCAAAGATTTTGTGAGAAAGAGAGAGAAAACAAAGACAAATAAAAAATCTGTCTTTTGTAAATCCATATTGTCGTTATTTCACAAAATGCACTATATTCCATTATATTATGCTTTGACTATAAGTGGGCGAGAATTATAGAGTCTACAGGATATACCCGTTTTCATTATTAAATACAAAATGAGATTAATTAATATATAACAAGCTAAAAAATACAGAATGCTAACAGCAAGAAAGCTATACATCAGGAATAACTGAATACAATTATTTTCATTCATTCTGGTTGCCACCAAGGGTTCGCCTAAGGCATTATTAAGAGATGCAAAATTAACAAGGAAAAAAAATCGTTTTTTGAAAGTGTTACTTAAGTATCTTTCTGTTAATTTATATAATATCACATATCAAGTATGAAATATTACTTGTTTAGCTCTTCAGATACCAAWAACTAGATTTTGATAAATGTTGCTACATTAAAAGATGATTACTTAGGGTTTTCATATTATTAAAAAACGTCTTTTGCTTTTAATAACACGATTCGTAGTGACCTCGACTTCTTGGTTGAGATAAGAAGTAGCTAGTTTTGAAAATAAAAACTTAAAATGTTTAAAAGTTAAATTACGTGTCATTTGAAGTGGGCTTTGTAAAGGAAAAATTCAAATTTGGGGATGTTTTATTGTTATAATGATTATAAAGAAATTAGATTTTTTTTGTGAATTCGTTTCAATATCAGCGCTCTATCTTGCTGTTTGATTGAATGCTATTAAATTATTTAAAGACTAGAACAGCAAGGATAAGCAAACCGCAACCTCAAGCTACTTCTGATCTTTGCAGAGCATATCGARGAGAGGGTTTTTGAATGAAATCCCGATAAATTAGCAAACAATTAAACCAAGTTAATTGCTTTCGCAAGACAACATCTAAAAAGTTGTTCTTCGACAAACGACAAGCAAATAAATTGTTTTTCTGAAGTAGTAAGCTTACATTGTAACGAAAAAAAATTAACAGAGTTGTTGAAATAACGTGGATTAATTCCAAATTCAAAGGAAGCATTCTAGGGTTACAGCTTAATGACTACTTCASTGTAAACAATACTTTATAATAATAAAACAATGTTGTTTCCGGAGTTGAAMGAAATTTTCACCATCGAACAAAATGTAAATGACGTTTTGAATGTGAAATCGAGATTCAATTGCAGTGGTTTTTGATGATTGATAATGCTTATCTTACACGATTCGCAAAGAACATATGTGTTTAGAGGGTTTGCGATAACAAAAGACTCGAAGATGCGAGTCAAAACATGAAATATTGACATAAAATTACTCGACCGAATACATTTGGCTTTTGGAAAATCAACAAAAACGCAACAACCTTGAAAATAGTCTGKTTTATAGCGTAAACACTTGCTAATAGACAGTTATAGTTAAGTTCATTATAATCTTACCATTCTAAATTCTTTTATTGAACAGATAAAATAAGCTACATCAGGTCTTTGGCTGTCCACATAGACACAATCTGAAATGAAAAGGGAAAAAAAATATTTTTGAAATCGCATTAAGGTAATAAYTTAAAGACCTGTCAATATATTGTTTATATCGTGTTTCGGCACCCCAATGTTTAAACAATATTTTACATTTGTTTAAACTGGGGTTAAAATTGTAAAATGGACTAAAATTTCAATATGTAGAGGGAGAATTATGAAAATGGAGGAAGCATTAAAACTGCGTGACAAAATATGGATCATTTGTTTTCTATGCAAATTCGATTTATAAAAGAATTGAGCTTTATGATGTTTTGAAACTGTTATTGATATACGCATAGACCCACTAATATGGTATCTGCGACATGGTTTCGAAACCTATTATTAGGAAACAAGCACCTTAACTGTAGAATACTTTAGTATAAGAGATTTTGAAGTAAGAAATCAAGTCTTTCATGCTTTCTTTCGAAAAGAAACTTCGACCTGTTCAAGAACTGGTACAAATCTACACCTATTATCAAAACATTGAACTCAGTGTTAACAAAAACACCATTTTTTCCCTCAATTTAAACAAAAATATATTTAAAAAGGTATAGATATAAGATCCTTACCTCCTGGCTCGTAGTATACATCGTCTTCAGAAGTAAAAGTCAGGACATTTTCGTTTCTTTCGGAACCTTTCGATTCGTTGTCTGTTTTGGACGATTTTGATGAACGACGAGATTTCGCTGTCTCAGATCCCTTTTTATCWTCGTCTTTTTGGATGTTTGAATTCATATTCAGGTCTACAGAGCGTTTAATGCCAAGTACCGTGTTTGAATTAGAGGATTTCATCCTGCCCGATTCTGAATGGGCCTTTTTAAATTGAACCAAGTCACGCCGAATTTCTTTGTTCAGCAATTGAAAGGATTGTCTGAAATTTCACGATGGAAAGTTCAACTCTCAAACCTTTTCAGCTTTCAAGTTCCCCTAAAGCGAAAGATCAATGAAACAAAGTAAAATTAGCGAACATGGTGGCAAATTTTGTACGGTTTGACTGTCCGGGCACCTTGCAATTACTGAGAGTAATTCTTTAATTTATTCATACAATAAATATCCCTCTAGAGTCACAGTTAGTAATTCATATCGTTCATGTATCGAAAGATGCGATTTTACCTTCAAAAATGATGAAATTTCTGCTAGATATCCATGTAAAACGGCTYCAGGCAGTCAGAAACTAACTGTTAAACAAAAGAAAATACAATCAGCCGGATAAACTAAGAGCATGGAATTTCGTGGCTCAGTGTTGATCCCAGCGATAATGTTGTTGAAAAGAATACAGTGTTTTCTACCACAAAACATTGTTAGCAAAAACCAATTGTAAAAAACGTTTGGTACCAATACTTGAAGCTTGAGATAAATTCAACGCTTGAATTATTAGTGTGTACGAGTGTGTACTGCTTTGTTTGTCTAGTTCTTTACTCACGGCTAAAATCTGAAGGAGTTCGGTGCTAGTAAGTTTAGCTCGCGACAATTTTCCATTGTTTGAGATAGATTTACAAGACATGCAAATTGACCTTACGCTACTCAACATTTTGCACTTAAATATGGCTGTAAATTAAGAAATAAAAAAATATTCGAAATAAAAGACTCTTGTAATCTCATTCTTTCCTTGTCTAGCCAAATTTTAACGAATATCTTTGATGTAAATTATATTTGGGGACACGACTGAACAAATTCGACAAATGAACAAACATTTCAACTCCACGTTATCAAAAGCGGATATGTAGTCGGATGAAAATACGATTCCCGGTGTGACTTGTAGTTTAGAGTTAATTCTGTCTAAATGTCGTACATAATATAAAAACATGACTGTTGAATATAATTATTAGCATATGTTWTAATAGTGTTGAAGATGAATGAAGTATCTTGTCGCGAGGAAAGGACGTCGTTTGCTGTTTCGCTTCCAAAATCCACAAATTTAGCACTCTAGCACACTTTAACTAACCTGGGATTTCTTYCTTCTACTGTAGACGTTCAAAGCCTTTATCAAAAGTTATTTTTACGTTGTAATTTTACGGTCATCGAAGGTCGATTGAGAATGTCAACTGACGAGACTGCACGCTACACMACCACAAAAACTCAATCTATCACTGAAAATGCCATCCAAAAGAGCTGAATTTCTCCCAAAACCAGCCTCTGACCTTCCCTCGAAAACTACCCTGCCTTGATAGTCCAAAACCACGGGATTTGACTATTTACGAGTTGTAACAGAGAGCGTGGAAATGGCTTGTAGTTCAAGATGTAGTGTGATTTCCGACTGATTGGTTTAAAACAAGAGCCGAGTAACAGGATAGGAAATCGAGCACGCTGATTGGCTAATCTTAACGAAGTGTGTAAACTCTCGTCACACCTGTGTATATTTTGATTGGAGGCCGAGAAATTTTGTAAAGTCTTTTAGATCAAATTCAAACTCGTATAAATCATATAATCGTTAGAAAAACACATTAAAATACCTCATACGCTTGTTCTGACCGTATCTAATGGCGGAGCATTAAAGATGGGTGGGGAGGTGTCTAATATACGTTTTATCCCACCTAGCATATTGTTGTTTCATAATAGGCCGTTGACAAACGATCGCCGGTCACAGAGTGAAATGCCAATCAAATTTAACACCAGAAATCATCGCCTTGCGTTGAAAACCTCACAGTCAAACCYTCRCAGATGACACGGAGCTCGATTTTTGCGGTTATATGGGATATACTTTTTTGACCAGGCATTTCAATAACATATGATTTTTGAAGAGTCGGAATGTTCTGCGCTCACTCGAGCATAAAGAACGCGTGTCATTTCCATTTATCGCGTTTGAAAATTGTCATGAAGCRCCTTAGTTCTACATAAAAAAAGAGTATTTCGATTGTAAATTCATTTTCGAAAAGATACAGTTTAGCCCCCACACTAGATAAACTAGTTAACTTTCGAGGCAAAATTTATAGTTGAAATTTATTGAAGAATACTTCAAAAAAACACTTATACTTGACCAGTGAAATTMAACATCTTTACAATCGYTTTTGCTACAAATAAAAGCAAAAAGCCAGCAAAACTTTTGTTACCAAATGCGGTGAATTTATGCTTGTTGCGAACACAACAAAGATAACTTTTCGCAAGCGGGTTTGAATGTTCATGGAACAGTATAAAACAAAGGCCACATATAATTAAATAACGATTCTAATGTTTGTTTCTTCAGGCGATCTGGGCAGTCCTCCATCGCAAAAACATCAAAAATGATCGATTTAAACTCCAAAAATTTAATGTTTGTTTTGGGTAAAAAATCGATAGAGCGAATGCCCTGAACACATTGTTTAAGGACAAGAATTATAAATAACGAATAACAAACAATAGTATTTGGAAATTTGTTTAGTGAAAAGTATTTGATGTGTGTACTTGACAGATCCGCTACTCGAAAGATAACAATTATTTTAAGAATAACAGAWTCTAAATCGATGGCCAAAATCTTTCACGAATTGGTCACAAACCCTTGCGATTTCTAAGCAATTTAGCGACGCTTACCACGGAATGTAGCGCATTAATGCCAAAAATACCCCGCTAAAAACTGACAATCGAGAGATAATCGTTTGTGTGAATAGAGTGACATTCGACGAGACGAATGACATGAACTGCTTGCGGTCGATTTCAGCTCAATGCTTTGCTACAAAAAAATCATGTTTTCGGGTGAAATTTTCGATTTTAAAATCATCTTTCATGGGTCGATGTCTCACGCATCTATAACTATTGATACGAAAGGATCAATTGACCCCTTAAATTCGATGCTAATCCTAGCACACACATTGAATTACACTCACCTATACAACTCATCTCCATTGATCTATCTGTTCAAATCTCTCACCRAATTTACCCCAGAAAACTCATTTCAGTGAAATATTTCGCTTTTACAACGAACAATCGACTATTAAAAACTCCAAAAAGGATTAAAATACCCAAATGGCTTGAACATCATTAACGCTAATTATAAGACCAACTTGTATTTCAAGTTAAAAACGTACTATAATATTCTTTCAATAAATCAACGAAGTTTTAACACTGCTATCTGTATTGCCTACGATTTCCAAAGGTTTGCGTGGAACTCGAGCTTTTTCATCTGTCATACAGTAAGAGGTGTAAACTAGTAAATTCATATGTCTTCTCATATATTGACCGATTAGCAAGCAATGAGAATACTCCAACATATTGTCGAGAATATATCACGACATGCTCCAAACAAACTCACCTATAGCCATCTTATACAGCTATAATACCCGAGTTTGAGACAATTCACAATACACTGCAACATTTTCAGCAACGTTGCTGTATATAATGGTAAGAGAGCCGTTTATCGAGTGTCTTGATAAAGCGGTGGTAAATATCGCTTGTCGCAACAACTGTTCAAACTCAAACTTAACCATCAAAAGCCTAAACTTCACTTTAGCGGTAATAACACGAATTTAAAGCTTTACCTTCACAATACACTGAAAACGAGAGATATTTCTATGGAGGAGAGGAGACTTCAGTTGAATGCTGCTCGTAGAACTGTCGTGTTATCAATAGGCCCCTAGGGGTTAGTATTCAATTGTTCGAACACCGGAAGTGACATCGTGCTAACAAATATCATTATAAAAACCCTTGTCGATTTGATCTTTACTTTGACTACAGTCTTAAACTTTTTTGATGCTAGGGACGGATATAAATTACGATGTTTGTAACTCAATTCTAATCTTAAAAGCCCTTATATTTAGGATTTTCCAAGAATTTTCTATAACCCAGAATGTRCAACGCGAGTGAAGTCAAACATTGAAGTTGACATTTACGAAAGGGCAGCACTTTGCTATGAGTCTTGAGATTGAAAGATGTCAACTAGCTGGTTGTATATAAACACATCGCTGCGTTAGATATTGCTTACAAAATAAATCTTTTTTTAAGATCACTGGCGTGATTTCGATCAGTCCGAGGTCAAAAATCGGGACTTTTTAATGATTTGGCTAGTCAAAACGCTTTGCTTTCAAAAATTAAAATGGTTTGATAAAGACAAAAAATCAATCTCTAAGTTGGCGGAACGAGAACTCTTCAAAAATCACTTCCCTTCGCAGGTTGCGGAGTATTCTACAAATGACAGTTTTCAGGCCTTATATTGTCGAAAACAAAAAACAATAACAATGGCATAGAGAGATAAGTTATTCACTTATCAGTATTGAATATACTATAACTCTCCTGATCATAATCACCAAATTGGCGAATCAAGAAAAACGCCATCCAAGTTGTGTTAAAAGTATTGTCCGTTTCCCGTACAAGAGTATTAAAAGATGTCTATCTTTGTCAGTAGCATCAGTCTGTCCCTATCTCRAATTTCGTACTTTATAAACCAATGGGAATTCGGAATAGTGATACTTTGATAGTATTCTAGCGTTATGGGATCATTTTACTTGCTCTACACGATAGCAAAATCTTTTTATATTGACATTGATTAAAAATGACATTTAAACGTGTAGAGCCGTAGGTTACCTATATCTCCGCACATTTTTTGSAGAATTTCATTGGATTAAGTCTTTTACATACACAATCATTAAATTCTATGAATTGGGAGAGTGTTAACCATCTAGTTTCGGTTTACGCGAGTAATAACACAACATATATCATAATGAAGACTGCTTTACTAAATGTGAAGCTGCAACAGGATATACCAGTCAAATTACGACAGAACGCGCGGAAAATATTCGCGTGAAAACTCAGATTATTACATGTAAAGACGMATAAACGCATTAAGATTTTCATAAATCTTTCCGAGCTGCAGTTTTTTTTAACAATCATATCAGATATTTGAGAAACTGTATTTCGTCTTGCCGATGATACGATATCGAAATAAGCGAGTTTCATCAATTTCTCTTTCTGGGTTTACCRCATGTAAAGCCCCCCAAATCCAATTTTACCGAAGTTTCAAATAACAAGAAAAACATTAAGAGAGATTTACAAAGGTCACACTGGGAACGCTTATYCTTATCGAAGCTGTCTTTTGTTATTGTAAACCTATTTTATAGAACCTATATTAAAAAAAAATTCTTCGGATATAACAGACAAAACAGTTTGTATTTGCTATCAAAATAAGCGACATTCAAATATCTACAATGCTTATTATTGCGCATTTGGGTTCGTCTCGTTTTGACGAGGATTTGTTTATCATTTTGAAAACCTTTATTATGTTGACACATGAATAGCCTTTGGTATTACTCTAATCTTTTTTCCGTCACGCAATGTCACGTAACTTTCCGTGACGAAAGATTTACATAACAGATGACAAGAGGTTGTCGATGAAGTGCTAAAAGTTGGTGGGTGTGCTTTAACCTCCTCAGTACGCAGCCTTTTCATATCTTTTCTCTCTGTAGCTGTCTTAGTATTTATTAACACAGGGAACCAAAGTGGAAAAGAAGCGGAGGAGGCTTAAGTGCGTATTAAAACTTGTACACGTTTTTTCTTAAAACAACAACAACAACAACAACAACAACAAACAAAAATGCAAAATTAACAATGATTAGAAATGAACTTTCAAAGATATAACTGTGAATCGTGCAATTTTGTCAGTTGACAAGCAATTGTTGTATATCAGCATCCTTCTTCTTCGTATAAAGAGTGATACATGTAAACAACGTAGACGATGGCACCAAATCGTCGTACAGTTTGTACAGTTGGTTGTCGGAATGATAGGCCATCAACACACCGCGCCTAACACAGAGCAGGTCAGACTGAGTAACTGACTGACTCCTACAGTACCTCTGACTTACTCTGACTTAAAGACGGAACTCAGGGTTGACGGAGACTAAATGTTTTCTCCTCATGCTCCTCCTGACTACCTAACCGACTGACCGACTGCCTCTGACCAGTCTGACTGCCTGGATGACTCGATCTCACTGACTTCGACGACTCTGTCACGGACACTGTCTGACTGACAGACTTGATCATCGTATTACCTCTTTGTCAGTAAACTTCTTCCTGTTGGTGTTTTGGCTTCCTTTTCCTSSTTTTAAAATTGAAAATTTCCTTTTCTCAGTAATTTAGCTTTCGTGAGATTTTAGCTTTGCCTCGTGGGTGCTCGTTACTCGTACGACAAGATATGTTCAAAGTCCTATCTCTATCATTCTTCTTAAATACTCTATACTTCTATCACTTCTCAATTCTACATTTTCTTCTTCTAATCAACTTTGTTTGTGCGTCAAAATTCGATCTCCGGCGGTGATTTCCTCTGGCGTCAATGAAAGAATAGTTAAGGTACTTGGACGGCTAGCAGTGCTTTTCAATCCCATCGGGTTTTTTTTGTTTACCAATGAGCACAAACAAGATGGTTGACGCAAAGCTAATTCCATGTCCCCTGTTACTACTTCAATTTTCTTCTATAGCTGCACTTCAGTTTTCTTCTTCTTTCTCTCCGGCTCTTCTATGAATTGCCCTATTTCATTATGACGTCACA